AACCCCTAAGGGGGGGTGGACCTCAGATGGGAAATGGGGCAGGGGAGGGACGGATGGGGGGATCGCCAGGGGTGGAGGCGGCGGCGGGCGGAGCAACCCCGCAGGCCCCTTCTCCCTCAACCAATAATATTAATCCGATTCATTGCAGTCCTACGATTTCCGCCGCCGCCTTTTCGCCGACGCTGCCGCCCTCCGCGTCCTCTCTTTCTTCCTTGTCGTCATCGTCGTCGTCGTCATCGGTGTTCAAACTCCAGCAGCGGCCCGACCCGAAACGATGCTGCCCGCTGGAGGAGATCATCGGGGTTTACACGGGGGGCCCCCGCGGCTGTCGGGCCGGCCAGCCCGGGCATGAACCCGCCGTGTATAAAATATTTTTAGATTTCATCCAAAAGCTCCTGGAGTATGACCCTCGGAAACGAATGAATTGTGCGGAAGCAGTTCGGCACCCTTTTCTTGCGCCTCTGATAGAAATGGAGGCAAAGGCGGCAGCCCAGCTTCAACAGCTTTAGTAGCCTGTAAGTTATCAACACATATGAAAATATCTATATTCATCAATTTACAAAGATATCTATATATTAATATAGATAGATGAATACGAATAGATATTGATATAGAAATATATGTATGTATGTGTCTGAACGTGTCGAAGTAATTTGCTTATCAAATTAACCAGGGATCTTTGCTTTACGCACTATCGACAACGAGCATGAGAGGCGATAGAAAATCTCAGGTTCTTTATATAACTTTCATATGGATATCGAAATATTGATATATAGAAGTATCTATTTGTGTTAATTCATCACTTCTTCAGTGTCATTTTTCCTTTTTGTTGGCTCTGGTAAACAATCCAATTCTTTCCGTGTAATGCCACTCTCTTTAAAATTAAAAAAAATCCCTCGCCTTCTCTCACTTCACTAATCCAAAGGTTCTTTTTTTTTTTGCGGTGGTAGTGGTTGTTTCTTTTCTCCGTCCACCGTAATTTAGACATAAATATTTATTTATTAACTTAGTGATTTAGTTATACTAATAAAGCACTCGGGGGATGTCCAGCGAGGAGTGCGACCTCCTCAACCCCACCGCCCTGCTGGAGGGCTTCTACACCCGCACCTACCCCACCCGCGCGGAGCTGCAACGCGAGGTCGGGGTGACCGTCCCCGAGGACAACCTCCACGAGATCGTCGCCGAACTCCGCAATGAGGTCGACCTCCTTGCGGTCGAAACGGAGCTGCTTGAGCTCCACGGCTGCCCCGCGGCCCGCGGGAGGAATTCCACGAGCCTGACCACCCCGGACGGCGCCCCGACCTCGTCCTCCGCGAACGAGGACGGGGGGACGATTTCCATCCTGGGCTTCAGCTCCAGCGGCGCCCTCGCGGCGTCGATTAAGCGCGACGTCGACGAGCTCGCGAGCAGCGCCGCGGCGGTGTCGATATCAATCCCCCTGCCCGACTCCAGCCCCGCCCGGCGGGGGAAAAATTATCAGCGAAAGACGGACGACTCCACCGGCCGTTTTGTCAACATCGCGGACAAAATGGCGATGCTCACGAAGGAGGAGGAGCGGCTCGTGGCGATCGAGAAGAACGACGAGACCGCGGCCGAGCAGATCCGCGAGTATCTCATCGCAACCGCCGAGGAGGCCGCCCGCCGCGCGAAGGAGCTTCGGCTGGAGCGCAAATTATTCGCCCGCGGGGTCCTTTCCAGCGAGGACCCGCGGCTCTACGACGGCACCCTCTCCAGCACCCTCCTCGACAACGTCGAGGCCTCCGCGGACGAGCTTTTGCGATACCTCGAACGCGCGCGGAGCTCGCATGGGAAATATCAAGACAAGCTCCAGATGCAGTGCGGGGCGACCGAGCAGGAGATCACGCGGGCCCTTCATCGACTTCGTCAGCACCAGGTCGCCGGGGAGACCTTCCGCCCGGTGGACTTCGAGCAGCTCGGGATCGAAAACGAGCAGTTTAACGAGCGCGCGGAGCAGAAGAGCGCGGAGTTGGTGGAGTTGAAAGGGGCCTCCACACGCACCGTTCAGGCCCTCAACGCCACCACCGACGCCCTCAACGACCTCGTCGCCGAGCAAAATCAGCTGAAAAAGGAGTACAAAAGCCGTTGTGAGTACCTCGCGCGGTGCACGAAGGAGATGAGCGCCGTCGCCAAGGAGGTGGTCAGCGCGGAGAAGAAAAACGAGGCGATCCGGGCCAAACACGAATCCGTCCGGGCCCCAACCATCGAAGAATACATCGCCCAGCGCGCGGAGCTCTTCGAGCTCCAAAAGGCAGAGAAAAACTGGCAACGAAAGGTCGAAATCGCGCAGGGGCAGATGCGGGATTTACGCCGGAAAGTCGCCGCTCTGAAATCCAAACGAAGGTCCGCTCTGGCCTATGCGATGGAGCGGCAAAATCAACGAGCGTCGAATTTAAAGGCAGCGACGCGAAATTTACAACAATCTACGCTTAAATGCCCCCCCCTGATGGTGGGCCAGCAGTCCAGAGCGGACGGCACCGAGGGCTCGCCCACTCAATCTTCATGCGCACCCCTCGTAGCAAGTTCAAAATCCCTCCTCGACGCGAAAAGGCAAACAAAAAGGTAGAAAAAAAAAGAGGGTCCTTTTTCCCTATCCCTCCTCCTACCAATAGGTTTCTGATGATGAGAAAGAGGCGTGAATATGGTGTTAGGATGTAAAATAACACATGTGGGATCAAGATATATTGCTTGATGTACCAGAGTATTTTTAGATTTGCCTGTTTTGTTGACGGGCAAGAAGACAAAAAGAAGATAAAACGGATCGGTGGGAAAGGCCGTGTTCGGCCTTACCTCTTCTTGCGGTATTGCTATTAGTGTTCAACTATTAAATCCACTTATGTATACACGTATCTCTACCTCTTTCTCGATTAAAAAGCGATCAGGGAGTGATCCCTTTGACTATTTTCTAAGTAAACAAATTAAGGCTTGAGTATAATATTGTACATAAGCATATATAACAAAAATACGTAAAAACAAGGGAGGGAAAAATACTTTTGCATGGAGGAACTCAGTCTTTTTCTTAAAAAGGCTGAAAAGAAGCAAGCCAAGAAAAAGTCCAAGAAGAACGACGCCGCCGGGGATGAGGGAAAAATATTCCTTAAGGATAAATTCGCCGGGCTTGATTTGATTCCAGAGGAGGTGCCTATAATCGACCAACTAAGCGCAAACCCGGAAAGCGTCGAAGTCCCCGCGTCTTTGCCGAACGAGAAAAAGGAAAATGTGGAGGAAAAGGAGGAAAAAGAGGCCCCGTCGGGGATAAACCGGGATGTCGTTTCGACGAACGTCGTCACGATCCAAGCCGCGACCAACGCCACGCGGCGGGTGAAGACGTGGGAGGAAATCAAGCAGGAACAGCAGCGGTTGGAGGCGGAAGCGCCACCGAAGCCCATGGTGGTGAAAAAGGAAAAGGAAAGGCCGAGAAAGTTCGTCGCGCGGGGCAATGAAAACGCCACCGGGGCGATCACCATGGATGGCCTCTCCAAGCCCTTTAACGTGGAGAATCTGCCGACGCTGGAGGAGGTGCTGGGCGGTGGCGCCAAGAAGCCCCCCTCGGCCCCGGGGGGCTCGCCAAATTTGCCCGAAACGAAGGAAATCGCAGAAGATTCCGTGAATAACACCCCCGAGGCCTCCTACGACCCCCCCCTTTCCGCCGAAACCCCCATCCCGGACGTCAAAAGCGCCCCCGAGGAGGCCGCAAAGGAGGAGAACGAGAAAATTCTCAACGAGCCCGCCGCCGAAAAGCCTACGACGACGGGGGTGGCGAAATATACCCACCCGAAGACAGGGAAGACCGGGGCCTATCAACCCCCCGCCCGAAGCAAAACGGGGGAGACCGAAAAGCGCGCGGGGGAGACCTTTACGATTTCGTCAGCCCACCCGGCGACTGCGAATTCGCTCAAGACGTCCTCGACGCCGCTGGAGAAGACGCCAAACACGACCACTAAATACACCGCCAGTAGTACCAATAGTCATCCGACTCCGGCGAATAAATACATTCCCCCATCTCGAGCGGACGGGGGGGAAGGAGCGGGGCGGGTTTACAAACCCCCAACCGGCCCCTCCTCCGGGGCCTACCGG